ATTCCACCACCTCCCTTGGAAATTTATTCTAATATTTGACCACCCTGACAGTTAGGAATTTTTTCCTAATGTCCAATCTAAACCTCCCTTGCTGCACTTTAAGCCCATTACTCCTTGTCCTGTCCTCAGAAACCAAGAGGAACAAATTTTCTCCTTCCTCCTTGTTACGCCCTTTTAGATATTTGAAAACCGCTATCATGGCCCCCCTTAATCTTCTTTTTTCCAAACTAAACAAGCCCAGTTCATGAAGCCTGGCTTCATAGGTCATGTTCTCTAGACCTTTAATCATTCTTGTCGCTCTTCTCTGTACCCTTTCTAATTTCTCCACATCTTTCTTGAAATGTGGCACCCAGAACTGGACACAGTACTCCAGCTGAGGCCTAACTAGGGCAGAGTAGAGCGGCAGAATGGCTTCACGAGTTTTGCTTACAACACACCTGTTGATACAACCTAGAATCATATTTGCTTTTTTTGGCAACAGCATCACACTGTTGACTCATATTCAACTTGGGGTCCACTATGACCCCTAGATCCCTTTCCGCCATGCTCCTTCCTAGATAGTCGCTTCCCATCTTGTATGTATGGAACTGATTGTTCCTTCCTAAGTGGAGCACTTTGCATTTCTCTTTATTAAACTTCATCCTGTTTACTTCTGACCATTTATCTAACTTGCTAAGGTCATTTTGAATTATGTCCCTATCCTCCAAAGAAGTTGCAACCCCACCCAGTTTGGTATCATCTGCAAACTTAATAAGCGTACTCTCTATCCCAATATCTACATCATTGATGAAGATATTGAACAGTACGGGTCCCAAAACAGACCCTTGCGGAACTCCACTTGTTATCCCTTTCCAGCAGGATTTAGCACCATTAACAACAACTCTCTGACTACGGTTATCCAGCCAATTATGCACCCACCTTATCGTGGCCCTATCTAAGTTATATTTGCCTAGTTTATCAATAAGAATATCATATAATCAGGTGCATATTTAAACTTAAGTCACCTGTTTTACTTCCTGATCTAGCTACACAGAAACACTTTAACTGAAGCTTTTTGCTTAATGCATCAGTAGATGACTTTTTATAGAGGCAGTAACAGCAAGATTCTCCAAGTGTTGTATATTTCTGTGAAACTCAAGAGAACCCTGACTGAAGGAATCACCTTTGGTCAAGGGATGCATCTGGGATGCCCACTGTACCAAGTGGTATACTATCACCATTGAGTCCTTCCTTCATCTCCTCCACAAGTGGTTCATGAGCTTAGTGCTCCAAGAGGGGCACTTGTGGATGGTCCTGTCTGTGTATGCCAACAACATGTTTCATGTGTTCCCAGACCCAAATGACCTAGTACAAGTGGAGGTTTGCCAAACCAGCTATTTGATGGCTTCCTCCATCCAGGTCAACTGGATCAAGAGTTCTGACCTAATGGTCAGAGACAGGCAGTAGGTAAGCTCCCTCATAACCATTCTCTATGCCATCAGGTAGAGCATGGGTGTACTGCTCTATCTGGGCATTCTCCATGCCACTAGTCCCTCCCCAATGAAGAACTGGGCTCATCTGAAGAATAGGGTGGGTGAGCAGTTGCAGAAAAGGACAGTTATGCCCACTGTCTGTATGGATGCCTTCAAGGAACAGTGGGAGCTATGTATCAGAGGAGTAGCCGTGTTAGTCTGAATCTGCAAAAGTGACGAGGAGTCCTGTGGCACCTTGCCACAGGACTCCTCGTCACTTTTAGTGGGAGCTATGTAGGCTTCTCTGCCCATTGTCCCCTTTCAGATATTTAATGTTATACCTGTGACCCTCACTCCCATCTCTTTTTCATTTTTGTCGCCCTAAAAAGATTTATAAATATGCAAATTATTATTGCATGTAAACTACATACAAATAAGTAAGTAAAACAAATATTTGCATTTGTTCACAAAGAACAGGTCTGTTTTCAGTGATGGGCTCTGTAAAAGTATGTAGGTAGATTTTCCAAGTAGTATGAGCATACATTGGAAAGCAAAACAGGTTGATCCTCCCTTCTCTGGCACTCTCCAGACCAGAGTGGCCCAAAACAAGGGAATTTGCCAGACCAGGGAAAGTCAGCATCCGGGCTCTCCCAGGGCTCCTCTCCTGGCAGCTGCCCCAAGAGAACCCGGAAACCTGATCTCCTCCCACTCACTTGCCTGGGTCTGCTGCCCTCAGCCTGCTCACAGGGCTGTGCTCCCTGCACCCAGCCCCATGTGGGGCAGCAGCTGATCCCAGGGTTCTCCAATGCCACATGAGCAGCAGGGCAGCTGCTCCCAGAGTTCCTCGGCCCCACATGCGCAGAAACAACAGCTGTTCCTGGGGTTCTCTGACCCCACACTCTGTGGCAGCAGCTGCTCCCAGGGCTCTCTACCCCTAGGTCACTGCCCCTGCAGGCTGCCACCAACAAAACTGGCTCCGCTCCCAACTGCTTTCATCCTCCATGTCTGGAGCTCTCTAGTCTAACAACATTTGTAGTCCTGCCAGACCATGGATGCTGCCGGACCAGGGAGTCCTGGATGAGAGAGGGTCAACCTGTAGCTGTATCAGTCCAATAGGAGTCCTTTCTCAGACCCTTTTGCTCCCTGGGGTCATATAATATCTAAACAGGTTAGAGAGGATCTTGCAGGACACTGACCATTCAGATAAAAATTAAAGCTCTCGAGCTATGTCATAAAATTATTATAATCCCATCTGGGAAAATATTTCCACTCAATCAAGCAAACTAGTATCCAGGGTATGTGTGAGCAACTACTGAGCTCATAATGGGTGCTGTGTTTGCCTACAGCAGTAATGTTAACAGCATTTAGCTCATTGTTTTTTAAAGTATTTTCATTTATCTTGTTCAGTCTTGGTATTTATCTCTGGGATTCAAAACTGCATCTTTGTCTCTTCTCCTAAGACCCATACCCTTGATAAGGATCAACTAACTATAATACAAAATATGATCCTAATAGTCACCTGGTGATGGAAACTTACAGAAGTTGTATTTTCTTGCTTTCTCCACTGTTTTATGGCAAACAGCACTCTACATTCCTGAACCAAATACTTGACTGCACTCAGAGACTTGTTCCAAATTTCCTAAGAAAATCATGAATGATAAACTAGAGACTATCAAAATATCCAAGCAAGAAAAAAAAAAAAGACAACAATGCCCGGAAGAGGACAGAAAGAAAAACTGAACCAAACTTCCTGTGTTGTTGTGACTAACCAGTCAACCATTCCTACAGTGGCTTTATATATTGGATGTACATTCATTAGCTGTGGAAGACAAACAAAACAAATGGAAATCTATCAGAAAAAATGATAAATCAATCTACTATATGTTTGAAAGAATTGGTGTGTCTGTCTGTCCATCCTGCCATCTGTGAGTCTGTTCAAGAACTCTTCCTAAATGGTAACAGTCAGGGCCACCAAATTTGGTATGCAGCTTCCTCTTACCATAATTTGAAGCAAGGAAATGATTTGATTGTGCCAGGAAAATGGATGTGCCAGGAATGTGATTGTTTCTCATAAAATGGAAGAAGAGGGATCTGGAATTAGGGATAGTTATACTGAATAATGACCATGGGAGACAAGGGAGACAGCAAGGGCCAGAAATGGGGGCCTGGACAGCTATAGTCCTATTGGGGCAGCAGGGGCAAGGGTGGAGAAAGGGACAGCACTGTACTACATATTTCAGTTTGTCTGTTTCTGTGTCTGTCTGTATTTCTATCTGTCCCCCAGCTGGGGGGACCCTTTCGCAGCTATCCCTACTTCAGGTGAAGCAGCCATGGATAGGCACTTCTCACCTACCCCCAAGCTGCTATGGTGAGAGAGGGCTGAAGTTCTCTCTCTCCCCGGGACAGTCTGCATATTGAACCCTTATCTTCAGCCCCAACCCAGAGTAATCATTTAAAGGAAGAATAACAAAAACTTTCAGTTAAAGACTTGAACAACACCAGGCAAATCCTCTTTCATAAAAAGTGAAACCTTTCTTTCAGCTGTGTGGGGCACACCATAACCCTGGAGACCAAACAGGATAAGAATGAATTGACATATCTTTTTGTAAAATAAATACATCTTCAATAATTTGCATCTGATGTACCAAAAAAGGCACCTACAACTTTTAAAGCCATCCTTTCTAAAAATCACTGACTTCTCAGTGTCAACAGTATTTCATCATTGACCACAACTTTAAAATTCTAGAATCCAAAAAATAGCTGGCCTTCTAACATGGGCAAAGAAGCAATGAAATGGCCTGCTGCACTGCCAGTTCTCTGTCTGCTGTAAGGCCTGTTTTAAATAGTTCAAATAAATATGTAGGTTATGTTTATACTACAGGGTTTCTGCGCAAAAACCCACGGAGTGTCCACACCTCAAGCGTGTTTTTGCGCAAGAAAATGTACAGTAAAACAGCAGAACATAGGGCTTTTTGCAGTATAGGTATATCTCTTTCTATGAGGAATAACTCCTTTTTGTGCAAGAGTTCTTGCACAAAAAGGTGCGTGTGGACACTTAACAGAGGTTTTTTGCGCAAAAAGAGCCTATTAGAAAAAGCATAGGTGCTCTGATGGCCATTCTGTGAATGGCAATCAGAACTTTCTTGTGCAAGACTGTCCATGCAGCGTGGGCGCTCTCTTGCACAAAAGCACATCACTTTTGCGATGCACTTTTGAGGTGCGGATGCACTTTTGCACAAGAAGATTTTGCGGAAGATCTCTTCCGCAAAAAGCTTCTTGCACAAAAACCTTGCAGTGTAACATAGCCTATTGATTAACCATACTCTAGAAACTGGGTTCCAGAGCCCCAAATGTAAAACTTCTGCCACATTCAAATATTTTCAGTCATTATTACCAGATTGAAAGAGAAGTCAACAAGATCATTTTCTTATTTTAAAGCTTCATACTAATATGGTGTTTGCTGCATTTCAAACATCACAAAATGTTTCTAATGAAGTGCATTTGCACATATTGGTTTCATACACTCAAGCATTGTGCTGCATTGATTACCTTTATTACAAAAGTATTCCACTTCTTCACAAATCAGATTCTCAGGCTCAAACTCTGCAGAAAAGCTTTCCTCCAAAGGAAACTCTTCTTTTGAGATAATGTCATTTTCCTCAGACAGGCACTCTTCTTCATCTTCAATCGTATCCTCAAGGGGCCCTTTAAAAAGAATCAGGGACACTGTACCAAAATCATCTAAAAGTAATATGAAATAAATGCCTCATATCTTACAACTAAAGAGTTTTAACAAGGGTCTTCTACTGCTATCTGGGAATTTTTTTTATAAATGATCACATAACATTTATCAGATAATTTATGAAATATATTTTGCAATCTAAAAAATAAATTGTGATTTTTCTCATTCTGACAGCCAAGTAAATAACTCATATATATTTCAAAAATGCAAAATATTACTACATTTTTTAAATAATATTTGAAAGTTGTGATATTTAAGCCAGCCATTCCTATAGTGGAAATGGAAGTTACATATGCAAACCGCACATGTATACATGGAGAAAAAGCACTTTTTATGTTGTGTGTTTTAGGGGTTTTTTAACATTACATTGAATTTTAGTACTCGTTAAATTTTCTTGACAAACCCGAGTCCTCTATCTTTGAAAAATTAAAGCAAGGGTAATGACAATAAAAGTTCCCTCTCATAGTTCTGCTCAGAAGGGACCAGATAAACAATAATTCTGTAGTCTCCATAACCACTAAGTTCTGGCCTCTTTTTTTGGACTCCCAGTCATGAGCAATTCTGCTGATTGTTTTGTTTTGCTGTTGACACACTACTGACAGGAACCGGGGACTGAGATTGCCAACTAACTCCACATAAGCCAAACTCCCAGCAGACAGTAACTACCATTTGTGACTACAGGTTAAACCTCTCCAGTCTAGCACCCTCAGGACCTGACCAGTGCTGAACCACAGAATTTGCCAGACCAAAGGAGGTCAATATTGTCTTGCAGCATTACCAACACTTCCACTGCTCATTGGGCTCTAAGGCCTGTCTACACTACAGCAAAAGGTCAAATTAAGATATGCCAGTCCAGTTACATTAATTACTTAGCTGGAGTCAATATATCTTAAATTGAGTTTCCACACTATCCACACAGAAGGAGGCTGACAGGAGCAAATGCTCCCATCAGCTTTGCTTACTCCTGGTGAGGAGCAGGAATACCGATGCCAACCAGAACGCCCTCTGAGTTTGATTTAGCAGGTCTTCACTTGACCTGCTAAATTGAACCCTGGAAGATTGATCGTGGCAGCATTGATCTTCTACATAGTGTAGACATAGCCTTAGAAGACATTTAGGGGTAAATTAGACCTAAATGATAGTACAGAACATTGAGAGCCAGGACTTGTGGCTGTAAACAAACTTTATGGGACTGCAGGAAACCTGGCCAGACCCATGATAAGTGGACATCTGGTTAACTAAAATTATGTCTGACCACGAAATGTTATCAAACCAGAGAGTGCTGGACTAGAGAGGTTCAACCTGTACTAGCTAACTCAAGCCGTCGCCTGCTGGCCCCACACTCCCTGCTTTGGAAATGTACCAGAGTCCCAAGATGCTGTATCACCAAAAATAAAAAGTAGCATTTAAATTGATACACAGAAATCTTGCAGTTTGTAACAAGTGATATACTAAAAGTGCCTTCTATTCTGATTCTATTATCCAATGAAACTTTTGCTAAAAGGTTTTATCTTTTTGTGGATGGAAGCAAGGGGAGGGAAGGAGAGACCAGATATGTAGGGGGTATGTACATCCAATCATATATAAATAGGCATAAACATGTTCCATATCTTGCCATAACTGGTTGTATGTCATATATGTGTTTTCAAGACATTTTTATTTGGAAGTAATGTAACTATTAGCCCAAATTTCAGCAAACTGACTTCCTACTGAAACCCTGACTTGTAGTCATTTTACTTTTTAAATAAGAATTGCTTGGAAAATACATTACAATGAACAATTTAATTGACATTTGTGAGGTGATATTTGTGCCTGTTTAGAGATGTTATATTTATTTGAAGGGTTCACCATATGTAGTCAGCATCCTTGAAATTACCATTTATAGATTATGGAAAGAATAGATATGAATTCTGTATATATACACTTTTGCCAGTCCTAGAAATATATACTTTAAAAGATGCATTAATACTGTCTTCAAGAAGTACATAGAATGCCACATATGGTGTAACAAATGTATGTGTAGAGGAGGACAAGGCAGATCCAAAAAGCAGCAAGGGAGTGGAGTTTATGATGTTTGTTTTAATCGAAGCACAAATGTAATAGGTTTTTATGAAACTTTTTTTGTGGATAGATGCCAAATACGAATGTACATATATAATATCCCGATTTGTGCATGTGTCTGACTTCAGAAGTAGAAATTTCATCACATGCATGCAAACTCACAGATTGTATGTGTACATTTGTATGTGGTTTTATTTTGTGCATACATGTCCAGCTGCTCATACATAAATCCCCAATATGTGTGTTCTACTGAAGAAATGTTTGCCTACCTAGCTCTATATAGACACAGATCAAAGAATCATCCACATACAAATGCCAAGGGACAAAAGTCATTCCCCCCAAAAGCTATGCTCACCTTTACTGAAAATGAATTCAGATGGGGATTAACAGGTAGATATGTATCTGTTTTTAATTACTCCATTGAATTGTATTTCATGATTAATCCATTTACAAATTGACCTTGAATCCATTTCTGCTATCCTTACTTATGCTATCTTACTCCACAAGTAGTTCAACTGAAAATGATCAGGTCCAGAATTTTAAACTTGTAATTTGAATAGAACTGTCTGAATTTAAAATTAAAGACTAATAATATGGTATTAAAAATAGTGGAAGTCCAGAGTTTTCACTGATGTGTTGTTTTTCCCTCAATTATCTGCTTTAACAAATTTTGTTGTAACTTACACCACTGTAGATTCCTGAATGCAGCTTTGTCAATTTATAGCAGAGCTGGCACTAGGGATCATCAGACTAAGCAGTTGTTTAGGGCCCCCAGTAGCTCAAGAAGGTCCCTATTAATTATCAGTATGTTTTGAGTGGGGAGGCTCCAAAAATATTCCTACTTGAGGTCCCCAGTGGGCTAGCACTGGCACTGATTCCAAGAGTGAGTATAGATTATACTGTACTTTTGTTTAATTCCTCGCTTTAATTTAATGAAGTATCAGTTTTTAATCATGCTTTTCATTTTACTGAACAATTTTAAGATACACAAATTAAATTATTTATTTTTCTATTTTACTCTCATGTATTTCAACAGATGCAAGCTACAGTCCTTATTTTATTGAAAAATGTATTAAAAACAGAGGTAATCGAGTGTGAAATATTGACAGCAACAAAATATAAAATAAAGCAGTAACAGTGCAAAACATAATAATTCCAACTCCAAAAACTCTTTTTTTGTTGTTGTGAGTGACAACTGGCTTGGCATGGAATCTGATGTTTGAAAACAAATAATAAAATTTAAATCCCAGAGGTTCACGCATTTAGTTAAATAGTTAATTCATGGGAGCTATGGTAGATTTTTTTTACTTTTATTCTCTCTTCCATAAATTTGTATTTTGATTTTTATAGTGTTTTCTTGGTAGAGCTGTGTAAAAGCATTAGATGTAATCTAAGAAGAGGTGAACCTCAAGTGCTTCAGATTAGTTTGATAACTTTATAATCAGTTAAGAATTTCCAAATACACTCATAGATTAAAAAAAAAACTTAGTTTCTGATCTTGAGCAAACTACTGTGTAGGCAACTGAAATTTCCATTTCCTTCCCAAGATTTCAAACTGAAAGCTGGAAAAATGTATATTAAAGAACAGATCTCAGTTTCCATCTTCCATATTGACTTTTTTCAATAACCAATTTTATTCAAATATCCAAAATCCTAAAATAACTAAAAATAAATAAAATAAGGTCAACAGACACTAGAAACCCAAATAAAATTAATGGTAGCAATGAAGGAGTGAATTCAGCAAGGAACCTGTGTGGCATAGTGGGCACAGTAGTCCTCTGCAGGAAATCACATATAACTTGATATAAATAATATCTACTCAAGAGAGGCTGATGAGCTAACTTCATGTTCCCTCATGGAAAAAATTACTTCTGATAGAGGCCACTTGTCAGAGCGGTATGGGAAAATCTGAACTGTAGTTCCCTAATTTGTACCAGATTTAATGACATTTGCAGGCATAATTCTTTTTGGTTTTTGATTAGTTTCTTAATTAAAATAC